GTATATATATATATATATATATATATATATACACAAAAAGTTTATGATTTTACTAATTCTTAGAATTTATAAAAACAGATTAAGATATCAGCTAAAATATAGCTATAATATAGAAGGTTATATAGAAGAAGATAATATAATTGGAACATACAGTAAAGACATAAAAGAAGTTTTAGAAATTTTTAGAATAATTAAAAATTTACCTTTAGAAATAAAAGAAAAAATATTTAAAATGATATATTTGAAGAATATAAGCATATATATATAATATAAGAAGTCTTGAGTGAAATAGATTTCACAATAATCTGGAAATAAAAAAGTTAGATTATCTAGACTTAGAAATAAGAAATAATAGTAGAAAAGTAACAACTGTAGAAAGTAATATTTTAAAGTGTAATTTAGAAACTAAACATAAATTACATAGTTTATTTTCAGAAGAACCAAGTCAAAATAGTATTATAGACTTAATTATAAATTTGTCCAGAAATTTAGAAATTGAAAATAAAAAGAAGTTTAATTATTTAGAAAATATTATAGATAAAAAATTTGAAACAAAAAATATTAAAGAATCTTTAGATTATATTAAGAATCAAAATTCTAGTATCCTAGAAAAATTAGTAAAATTTCCTATAAAACTAGATTTTTCAGAAACAATAAAGAATTTAGATTTTAATAAACCTAAAGAAATAGAAATAGAAATAGACATTAAAAGAATAACAATTAAAATAGAAGAATTAGTTAAAGATCTTAAAAATTGTATTCTTAGTTAATGACAGATAAAAATTATTTAGAAGCACTTGAATATTGTAAAACCTTTCATACAGAAGTTGAAGGACTTACTAGACATACTTCTCCAAAAAACTCAGACACGGTTATTATTAAACAGAATAATATAATAATTGCATTATTATTATCTCCCCATAAAAAGATAGATAGTTTAGTTAAAACAAAAATTACCTTCATCAAACGTAGAAAAAGATCTAAGATTTTTAACAGATAAGTTAGAAATTTAAGTTTTAGAGAAACAGGTAAAGAAAAAGTAACTAGAAAATTACCTAAAGAATATAAGTTTCCAAGATGAATCCATTTTTAGGAAGATCTAAAACTATAAATGAAGAAACCTTTTCATCAAGAGAAAGACCTAGATTAAGTTTATCAAGTATAAACAGAAATTTAATAGATAGAGTGTTAAATAAACCAGAACAGTATGATCAAAATATTGAAGAAATATTAGACCCACAACAAGATTATACTAGATTTTAGACACATGGTTTGAGACTTTTAAATCCAAATGTATTATATAATAGACGAATATTAGAATCAAGTACTCAATTTTTTAGACACCATAGAGAAGTTTCTATACAATGTATAGGAAATCAAGTAAAAAAGTTAAATTTAATATCAGAAGAATCTAAAAAAGAATTAAGAAAGAAAAATTTTAGATTTATGCATTTAGGACTTGTAGTTATAGGTATTAAGGGATTAATGGGAAAAAATTTAGGATGAAAAGTTTTAATTACTATATATGATGAAAGAATTAATAATATAGATAAAAGTCAAATAGCTAGCATGGAAGTAGATATGAATAGCAATAATAGAATAATTTATTGTAATCCAAATTTTTTAATAACTATAAAAGATTTAAAAAAAAATTAAGATATGAATCCAAACAAAAGGATATGAAGATGTAAAAAGTGGAGATAATTTATTAATACATATAGGATTTTTAAGGAGATGTTCTAATAATTCACAAACTAAATATAAAATTTACATAGATAAAGTAGTAAATTTGATGAGTAGTAAAAGAATTAATATGGTAAGACCTAATTAATATTCATCAGAACAATTAGCAGGATTAGAATGAGGTATGGATAAATTCTTAGATAATAGCCAAGAAAAAATTATAGCACCACAAGAATCATTAACCTATAAAGACATAAATGGAAGAACTAGTTTAAGATTCTTATATTATAATCAAATACAAAATAATAATTTTGAAGAAGAATCAAATCAATCTAATTCAGAAGAACAAAAACAAGTTAATGAATATGTTCATATAGAATTATTAGAAGAAAATTTAGATAAAATAATTTTCCCTAAAGAATTAGGAATGATTTTAAAAAAAAAAAAAAAAAAAAAAAAAGAATTATTATCATTAGAAGATCAAATGTATATTAATGATTCAAATTTAAATATAAGGATATGAATAAGTAAAGAAGAAATAGAAGATATAGGATCAGAGAGATCTAATTGCAAAGAACTTATGGATGATGAAAATGTTTATAAATCTTTTGATGAGACACCTTTTGATAGAACCATAAAACATGAGACATTAATTTATGGATATGGTTATCCTCCAAGAGGAGCTTATAATAATTACAATAACCCACCAAAAAGTACTAAATATGCTTCTAGAGGAAGTAAAAGACCATTAGAAAATAAAATATAATTTCAAGCAGCTAATAAAGCACAAATATTAAATATAACAGCACATGATCCACAGATATGGACAAATGTTATAGATGTATGGAAAAATACTATAATAGGACATTTTATTAGAAATTTCCAAGAAATGAAACCTTTAGATATGTATAGGTATTTAGAAACTTTTTAAGAGAAAGTACTAAAGCAATGTGGGAAGCGTTTAAAACAGAAAGAAAAGAAGAATTTGAACAATTAGTAAGCCTAGGAAGTAATCCTTATAATTTTGTTAATAAAATTCAGATATTAATTACTTGAGTAGATCCAAATTCAGGACATATGAGTATACAAAGAAAAGCAATGAGAGATTTAAAACAACTTAATTTATATAAATGGACTAAAGGTAGGCATGTTAAGAGATTTTTAAATGAATACTATTACTTAGTTTCAATTTCAGGAAATACATTTAATCAAGAAATAGGAAATAAGTTATTTCATAAATTACCAGGACCATTAGGATTACAAATAACAGACTCATGGAATAATTTAAATTCAGTAAAA